ATGCCCAATGAAATGATCATTGTGACTCACATGCCCCAATGAAATGTTAATTGTGACTTGCATGCTCCAATGAAATGTTAATTGTGACCTGCATGCCCAATGAAATGATCATTGTGACTCACATGCCCCAATAAAATGTTCATTGTGACTATCATGTCCCAATGAAATGTTCATTATGACTCACATGCCTCAATGAAATGTTCATTGTGACTCACATGCCTCAATGAAATGTTCATTGTGACTCACATGCCCCAATGAAATGATCATCGTGACCTGCATGCCCAATGAAATGATCATCGTGACTCACATGCCTCAATGAAATGATCATTGTGACTCACATGCCCCAATGAAATGTTAATTGTGACTTGCATGCTCCAATGAAATGTTAATTGTGACCTGCATGCCCAATGAAATGATCATTGTGACTCACATGCCCCAATAAAATGTTCATTGTGACTATCATGCCCCAATGAAATGTTCATTGTGACTCACATGCCCCAATGAAATGTTCATTGTGACTCACATGCCCCAATGAAATGTTCATTGTGACTCACATGCCCCAATGAAATGTTAATTGTGACCTGCATGCCCAATGAAATGATCATTGTGACTCACATGCCCCAATGAAATGTTCATTGTGACTCACATGCCTCAATGAAATGTTCATTGTGACTCGCATGCCCCAATGAAATGTTAATTGTGACTCACATGCCCCAATGAAATGTTAATTGAGACCTGCATGCCCAATAAATGTTCATTATGACTCACATGCCCCAATGAAATGATCATTGTGATTCCCATGTCTCAATGAAATGTTCATTGTGACTCACATGCCCCAATGAAATGTTTATTGTGACTTGGTTCATTGTGACTCACATGCCTCAATGAAATGTTCACTGGTATTTCATGATTGAAAATGAATTTGTACATGTACCCCCTGAAAGCTTTAGGATGCGACCTTCAGGAGTGAGTCATTCATACATGTGAGGTGTATCAAAACAATATGGTAATTCTACTCGATCTTTCTACCTCATCAATGGTCATCAGACGAGTATTAATTGAAAGAATTTAGCCTCTTGTTTTTCATAAGTGAAACCCAACACAATATCCCACCCAAGAATTTTATTTACAATTGTTCATCCTCTTCAGCTGTGCTGTAACATCCCTTTTGTATTTAACCACCTAATAACTGATTTTGTTTTCCAACATTTAATGTATTTTTTTTCAATTTCTTTTTTAAATTTGGACCTTTTTAATCAACATTTTTGAAAAACATAGTGGTGATGCAGTTTATTTCGTGAAAGATGACAACAGTTTACTGTGGTATTCAAAGGAGTTATTGAATCTGAAAATGGGCAGAAAAAGTAAAATTAGGGAAGTAATTTAATATGTAGTTTTCAATGATATTTTCTGACACACATACATACATAATAGGATTTTGCTTTGTTTCATTATAAACCATGATAGCCACTTGACAAAATCAACTCTGCAGTGGTTTACTTTTAGATCAACAAATAAACTTATTTATAGTCAACAAGACTTCAAGAATCAATGTAAAAACTTTTTAAACTATTACATCAAAAAATTGGTTCAAAATTAAAATGAAGAATGGAAAATCAAAATAAGTGAAAATTCATTGCCTATTAACCCCCCCCCCCCCCCCTCCCCCCAAACAAATGTGCTTCCTCACCAACTTTCAAAGTCTGTGGTCTAAAATAACCACAATTACTTAATTGGTGACTGTGAAGTCTGTTTATAAAGCTTGTCTAATTGTTTGATTATACAAGGTCAAGTACTATATGATTGATGTTTTCATTATACATAGAACATGTGTTCAAATATAACCTAGACTTGAGGTGAAAGTTAATACCATGAGAACACAAGAGACTTTACTAAAACATGGACTGCCTGCAGGTTGGGTGTTTACATCCATTCATCCATGTACCCTTTACTCCTTTGCTACATTTATTTCCACTCACATTTAACAGAATCAGTAGTATCATTTTTTATTTGTTTCCCAGTCTTTCATGTTGCTCATGTGCTTTTTGTGTGAATTTATTGCTTGTCTTCATGCGAATGAGCTCATGCCTCTTTGAATTCTGAGTACCAAATGCACTCTATTAGAAGTACATACACTTATGTAAGTGTGTCTATGGTCAAAACACGTCATATTTTAATGATCTAGTATATACAATGTAATAGATGCAGCTGTTAGTTTCATGCACTTTTATGGAAATTTGCGTCTAAAATAAGAAACAATAAGGTAAATGAAATATTCAGCCAAATTCATTTTTTTTTGCAACTAAGTGACCATATACCAGAGAACAAACATTTTGTTAGCAAGATTTTAATATTATTATGTATTTTTCTATAATTTCTTTGTTGCACTACTGTAAATTACTATATTTTCGCTATACAATCCAGAAAATATATCCTTTTTCCTATATTTTACATTAAACTCATTAAAAACCAGTGAAAATAAACTTGAAAGTCTTTTCAGTCAAAATTAATTCCAGCTAAATTAAAGTATTTTATAGTATATAAACATAATACTAGTATCTAATTGGCTATAGGTCTTACACGAGTAATTCAAATTTTTAAACATTTTATGGGAAAAAGGATGTTTTATTTTGTTAAAGGTGACACAAGTTGACTTTGTTGTTCAAAAAGGTTAATGGTTAACATCTGCCCTGACCATTAGCTATGTTTGTATAGACTACTGTTAGTTGATGACATCCCCCTGAAATCATATCATTTACTCCATAGTGTATGTTTGCACTAGTCTAATAATGTCAACAAAGTCATTTATTAATGATCAAAATGCCATACTGTTCTCCATAAATAGAATTAGTCAGACTCTTTCTGTCATTTGTAGTGTTTATCATTGATACAGTATGTTACTTTTCAAATTCTCTGACATTGTCTGATCTTTGTAAGCTAGCTGATCAACATTTTCCCATGGTTTGAACTTCTGAGTTGAAAAGCCACCTAATGTCATGTCCAAATCTGAATATTATAGGAAAGTTTTGTATTTTTTGAAGGACACCAATTAAGGCAAACTATTTTGGGTGTCTGGGTACTGTAAAATACTTTATTTTAGCTGGAATTAATTCATTTTCGCTGAAAAAAACATTTTGGGTGTTTTGTAGGGAATTTATTTTCACTGATTTCTGACAAGTTGAATGTAAAATATAGGAAAAAAGATATATTGCTGGATTTTATTTTCACTGAATCATTCCTTCAGCGAAAAAAGCGAAAATTAATTCCAAGTGAAAATAAAGTATTTTACAGTAATTGCTTTTGATGCCTCCTTGAAGTTAAAACACAGAAAGTTTTCTTCTCACTACTTGGAAACAATCAATTTAGTGTTCTTGACAGTATGGAGTTATGTTACATCAATTGAGTGTCTATTATGTAAATG